AGATACTTTATTTCATGTAAGAAAGACAGCTTCTAAACATTTATCAATTTGTTTAATAAGAAACTGGTGGACAGACAAGGTAATTATTCGAAATAGAGGGCGCCACACCAATTTCGATGGTTTTCAAATATTTTATAGGATTAAACATTTTAAACACATAACCTAACCTTAATTCTACCAATCCCCGTGGACTACGTTAGTTTTTCCTGAAAGATACTTTATTCCATGTAAGAAATACAGCTTCCAAACATTTATTAATTGTTTAATAAAAAACTGATGGACCGGCAAGGTAATTATTCGAAATAGAGGGCGCCACACCAATTTCGATGGTTTTCAAATATTTTATAGGATCAAACGTTTTAAACACATAACCTAACCTTAACTCTAATAATCCCCGTTGACTACGTTAGTTTTTCCTGAAAGATACTTTATTTCATGTAAGAAAGACAGCTTCCAAACATTTATTAATTGTTTAATAAAAAACTGATGGACCGGCAAGGTAATTATTCGAAATAGGGGGCGCCATACCAATTTCGTTGGTTTCCAAATATTTTATAGGATTAAACATTTTAAACACATAACCTAACTTTAACCTTAACAATCCTCGCGAACAACGTTAGTTTGGCCTGAAAGATACTTTATTTCACATAAGAAAGACAGCTTCTAAACATTTATTAATTTGTTTAATATGAAACTGATGGACCGGCAAGGTAATTATTCGAAATAGGGGGCGCCATACCAATTTCGATGGTTTCCAAATATTTTATAAGTTGAAACGTTTTAAACAGGTTTTTCTTATACATATTACCCCCACTTGGCTTTAGTTTCCGAGATATTTCTAAAAGTATGTGCCCAAACATAACCTAACTCGTAAAAACTAATACTGTTTTGGTAACATCTTAGCTGTGTTTCTGTTTAAACGTACAATATTTTCAATAAATGAAACAATCGAAATTAAATGTGATGTTCAGTTAATCACACACGTGTACATGTCCCAAAAGAATTTGGCTAAGTTAGGTTAGGTTAACGAGAATCATTCAAACTCTGAATCATTCCATGTAAACTAATACTATTAAAACAGTATTAAATAAAACTCCCACAAGGCCATTTAGATTTTCACGCACATTTCTCCCTAATGTCAACAGATCCAGGTTTTAGAAGCAGTAGATCCACTCGATCGTCTTTACCTGATCGCGAACTCTTATTGCACTACACTTGGATTGTTTTGAGAGCACTGTTGCATCGTTCAAAAACTTTGAATTAAAATTTTTGTAGTATTTTTTTCCTTATGTTGTTTATCAAATTCGCATTAAAATTACGTTTCTAACCTCACTTTGATTATCATGCTTTACTACTTTGTACACCAATGGGGATTCCCGTTTATTGAGTGAATAAAATAAAATGAACCGAATTATAAACGTTATTGATACCACGATACACAGAATGAAAATGTAATTATTCGCATGCTCGTCACTGGTACATTGTAATAAACGGCGAAAGTGAACCAAAGTGAAGTTCGAGACGGAAGCTTATCGAATCAGCCGAGGAGTAAAATTTCCCGTGGTAAAAACGGACAGAGAATGTTTGGTGATCCCTTTGGCGGTTCCTTTGACCGGCCGTCTGTGTTTTCACCGCGACAAACCGAAGAATGGAAGAATGGTCCGGAGACAAGTTACATTTACAATAAAGCTGACGGATACCCGGTTTAAATTCTGACCACCTCGCGACGGGACAGTACAGAGAATGATTTTCGTCCGAAAATATGTTCGACTATATTTCATCTTGACCCACTGAAGCTGTACGAACATTGAAACGGTGTAGCATTATTTTTCGTTGCACGTAGCGAAGAATACGGTAAAACCATATGTATATTGCAATTTTTACATTTAACACTTGGCATTACGCATCGCAATGAAACTATAAGAAACTATTGTTCAGACACTCGTTTGTATATCTTTACAGGTTCAATAAACTAATATTCTAAAGTTAAATACTGCGTATTCCTATCACTTTTAAATAAATACAATAATATTGCAAGTAGAAGTTTTCGATGTTATCGACAGTGTTAGGGGATAATCTTCTGTGAATGACATCGGTGGTGATTTAGTCGACTGAGGTTGGTAGTGGTGATGATTGAGGTTGGTAGTGAGTAGTGAGGGGAATACTGTGTGTATCGAGGAGACAAAGGAGTCACGCAGAACAAAAGAGACTGGGAAGAAAGAAAGAGTGTTGCATATTTGTTAAGAGTTTAGTTAAGTTTTTTTTTTGTATGTTGATTATGACTTCTATTATTGTCTAACTAAAGTCAGTTCGTGTATACATTTGTTTCTCTAACTTTTGCGACATATTCCCGTTGAATTCAAGATTTTGAAACATTAAATCGTCGAAATGGCCGTCAAAAAGTCCGGATTTGAATTCAATGGGACATTTCATGGAGTATTTTCGAATCGAACGTGTCGTTGGAAAAATGGCGGAACGAGAACGATTGTTTTAAATACGTACGATCAGCCTTTGAAAATATTGATTAAAATTATATCGAGAGTCCATTAAATAACATTTAGCGACATTTTGGAAGCAAATATTGTAGCAAAGGACGAACATACCAAATGATGATTAAATATTTTTGTTCGATGCGTTGCGTTTAAGGTATCGTTGAGAAGTATTTTATCTGTTTGTCTGTTCGTGTGCACTTGGTCGAGAGGACGAAGAAACGATGCATGTATTTTCCCCAAACAGCAGACAAGACATTAAGAATACCGTAGAAGAGAAATAAACCAACAGAATGACCACTGCGATCGCCGTTTGCTGTTAAGTCAACTCTCGCCTATTATCCCGTTTTTGTCCCATTATCGAGCAAATCGTGCATTCGGGGAAACGCTATTGTACCCTTCTCGAGGATCGATACTCAACGTCGATGCGCTTTTCCAGCCTCGCTGCGGTTCGTTCGTTCGTTAGATTCGCCGTACAAAGGGCTCCCGGCTAAGTAGAATTAAATGTTATGCTCGATTTGATGCCAATTCCTGACGCGCCTCGCGCGCACATTTTCCAGCCAGGATGAACGAAGAAGACGTTAAGAAGATGTCTGTTATGACAGGGAACTGCTTGCGTTTCGATTGCTCGCTATTCAAACGGGATTACTTCGCCGTTCTGTTCGGCTACCTGTAGATCAGTCTCGTCGTGTGGAATTAAGTAGGCTGCGTCTACTTAAAAATACTGGAAAAGTTATTCGAATCGATGTGTTCGAGCAATTGGAAGGAGACTTTGGGCACGAGACACAAGACTCTTTCTACGAGGGTTCGATTGACAACCGTAGGCTCTTCGGCAAAGCCATTGTGCGAGCAATGGGGATATAAATAGAAGACAATATTAAGAATCGTCCATTTTTCTATTGGTGTACATCATTCCCATTCTCTAGAGCTTTGTGAACCCAAATTTGAGTTCACAAATGTCCTGCAAAAAGCTACAAAATGCACTTAATATTTATTTAATTTATTATTATTGGAATTGTTGGATTATATATGATTTTAAATGAAACAATAATAATTAATAGTAAAATTTCACATTTATTAAATACGTAAAGGTATACATATAGTATATGTATAGGGTGTTCGGCCACCCGGAGAAAAATTTTAATGGGAGATTCTAAAGACCAAAATAAGACGAAAATCAAGTATACCACTTTGTTGATGGAGGCTTCGTTAAAAAGTTATTAACCTTTAAAGTTCCGCCCCTACTGAATTTTTTTCTCCAAAATGCGTAAGATTTCGGGGGTATGTTTATTCACCAAAAATGATTGCAATTGACCCCAGAAACTGAAAATAATTTTTCCAAAAGGATTTGAAATTTAATTTTTCGTTGAATTTAGGCACCTAATTAGATTTTCGGTAAGGAATTTTTTTATCGAATGTGCGTAGGATTTCGGGGGTATGTCTATTCACCAAAAATGATTGTAATTAACCCCCGCAATCGAAAATAATTTTTCCAGAACGATTTGAAATCTTTTTTCTCCGTCGCAAAATTTTACACCTTCTCGAATTTTTTCCTAGAAAGTGGGTAGAATTTTGGGGGTATGTGTAATGACCAAAAATGATTGTAATTGACCCCCACATCCGGAAATAATTTTTCCAGAACGATTTGAAATTTTTGAATTTAATTGTTAATAACTTTTTAACGAAGCCTCTATCAACAAATTGGTATTCTTGATTTTCGTCTTATTTTGGCCTCTAGAATCTCCCATTAAAATTTTTCCCAGGTGTGGCCGAACATCCTGTATAAATATTGACTTTTCTTTACAAAATGGCGTCGGAATTGTTACGTTCTATGCATTCACTTCAAACTTGTAGTCATTTAAAGTCGGAAAGTTATGACTCGTCTTTCGTAGCATCGTCAACTTCGATCACATTTTTCACGACTTTCCCGTCACATTTGCTATAAACAATTGCACACAATTCGAAGTGCAGGATCTGTAGAATGATGCCTTATAATTATTTTAGGTGCCTGGCGGGGTACAAATTTGTCACTTTATTTAAATCCTCCTTTAATTATTGTTTAATAAAATTTATTTAAAATATAAATTAAATTATGAATTTTTATATATAAATCAAAATAAATAAATAAACCAAAATTAAATTTAACAATATGCAAAAATTTAAAGAATACTTACAGTAAGATACGAATTACTATATTTTGGGGTTCAGACAACCCTTTACGAAGCTCCCATTTCATTAATTTTATTAATAAAAATATTAATTTTCATAAATATCCGCAGTCTATTGGTAAGAGTTAGTTTCATTTCAAAATGGCGATGCACTCTTACACTATATTTAGTGAAAATTCATATTTTAGTGAAATGAAATGCTACTGTTCACCATTACATAAATATTTGTGTATATATTTTTTGTAAATAGACACAAATAGTAAAGGGAAATTAAAAACAAAAGAAGAAACATGTGTTAGAGCAGGGTTAGAAACTATAATACGACGCATTGATGTTGTTTCAGGCCGTTGTGGTGACGAGTCCGACACGGAAAGCGAACCTGGCATTCCTTTGAAGCGAAAGCAACGCAGGAGCAGGACCACGTTCACCGGAGACCAACTAGAGCAACTGGAGACTGCGTTCCAACGTGCTCAGTATCCGGACGTTTACGCCAGGGAAGAACTGGCCCAAAGGACTGGTCTCACGGAAGCTCGAATTCAAGTCAGTACTACACTGTTTTCAAATACAGGGCGCGCCACCTGCCTGTCGCCATTAAAAGTGCCCAAGCAGGTACTTGAAACTACAAGTCGAATCAAGCTTAGCTTGGATCATTTTAACCAAATCGACTATTTGATTGCTCAAACAATCCTTGCTATCCAAGAAATCTTGAAACAAAATTGATCATTTGCTCGTACTTAATTATAATATTGTATAAAGTGTATAAGCTTATAACATGAAAAATGAGTCAAAAGGTCTCTGCTATACCCTTAAAGATTAATGAAGAGGAATTAAATTAAATTATAATATAACGATAAAGTGGATAAGCATATCGTTATAAGAACAAAAATGAGTCAAAAAGGTCTCTGCTATACCCTTAAAGATTAATGAAGAGGAATTGAATTAAATTTTGAATTAGACTGATACGTTCTAGCCTTGTAGCGTAGTAGAGTACCTTGATTGGATGCTGTCGGTTAAATTTCAGGTATGGTTCAGCAATCGTAGAGCGCGATTGCGAAAGCACGCTGGCAACATAGCCCATTCGGTAGGAAGCTTACCATTGACTCCCTGTCAGTACGCGGCGAGTCACGAGCTCGCGCAAATACCACAAATAGCTCAAATGTCGGCTGGAATACCGCAGGTGGCAACCGCGTTGCACCAGACCCCGACGACGCTCCAGCAACCAAACTCCGGCGCCGTTTACCAAGTTCCGGGGACCAGCCCACAGATATCCACCACCACTTCCGTCACCCAAGTACCCACTACGATCAGTAGCGTGCTTCAGGGGCACGCGGTATCAATTTCGGGACACCTGAGTTCTTTTCAAGGGCACGCGATGCAAATCGGACAGGTTCCAACCATCCAACCACCCGCGGCTCACGGACCACCCACGACGATTTCTCATAACGCAGGTTCGTTCTGTTCTAGCATGTACAGGGTGTTCGACCACCCCTGGGAAAAATTTTAATCGGAGACTCTAGAGGCCAAAATAACGGGTTTCGTTAAAAAGTTATTAAAAAATTAAATTACAAAATTTCAAAACGACTTGGAAAAATTGTTTTTGGTTGCGGAGGTCAATTACAATACTTTTTGGTGGATAGATGTACCCCCAAAATTCTACGCACTTTCGAGAAAAAAATTCCAATATGTGCTGAAATTATTAGGCGAAATTAAAAAATTTTGAATTGTTGTAAAAAAATTATTTTTGGTTGCGGAGGTCAATTACAATCCTTTTTGGTGGATAGATGTACCCCCGAAATTCTACGAAATTTCGAGAAAAAAATTCGAGTAGGTGCTGAAATTTTTGGGCGAAATTAACAAATTTTGAATCGTTCTAAAAAAATTATTTTTGCTTGCAGAGGTAAATTACAATACTTTTTGGTGAATAGACATACCCCCGAAATTCTACGCACTTTCGAGAAAAAAATTCGAGAAGGTGCTGAAATTTTTGGCGAAATTAAAAAATTTCAAATTGTTCTGAAAAAATTATTTTTGGTTGCGAAGGTAAATTACAATCATTTTTGGTCAATACACATACCTCCGAAATCCTACACACGTATCGTTCTACAGGCGGAACTTTAATTGTTAATAACTTTTTAACAAAGTCTCAATCAACAAATTAGTATTCTTGATTTTCGTCTTATTTTGTCCTTCAGAATCTCCCATTAAAATTTTTCCCAAGGGGTGGACGAACACTCTGCATACAGTATGGAACACAACTATAGCACCACAGACGTTTTTAGGATTTTTGGAATGTAAAAGAAAAATTCAAAGAAAATAATTGTATAACATGAAAAATTAAATAACGAACTTAAGTCGAAACATATGGAAGTGGTGTACGTATGTATCGAGATAATGTCAAAAAACATTCTATAATTGATGCTAGACCACCATTTTCATTCTAATTACACTTGTATTTGTCATAAAATTTTTACTTGACGTAGATTTTTATAGGTTATTTGTATAATTCCACGTGGTAAATGTCTTACTGAAAAAGAGCAAGGTAGAATTTTAGCATGTAACGAACAAGGTCGTATCGTTTTTATTTGATGATACATAATCATAATTGCAGACGATTAATCACTTTGGCTAGTTAGTAAATACACGTTAGTGCACAATAATCAGTGATAGCGGTTTGTGATTTCAGGAAACACCGATTGGTGCAGGGCACAACTCGGCTGGGGGCAGTTTGGTCACTTTCAAGGTGAATATTCATCGAGTCATCCACATTCGTCGCATGTAAGTCATACCGCATCTTCCAGTAGCGTTAATTCTCCATCAGCAGTTGAATGGTACGATCCAGGTTACGATTATTCTCAACACGTTCAGCTCAACTATCATCGAACAGCGGGTGGAATATTTTAAAAGCAAACGATTAACCAATCATTAGGGAAATTTTACAACGATCGATCTTTTGCTGTACACGATATAAAATTTTTCGATAAGAACGATAGAACTTTGAATTGAAACATAATGAAAACTAGAAGGGACAATCTAGTGCTCGTTGTTTATAAAACACGGTGTCATTTAAGCTGTTATGGTTTCGGTAAGACCACTATTAACCACGAATTTATTCATAGACTTATTATTACTTTAATAATACTTTAAGACTACGTAGTGTAACTTTTGGAAAATGAAAAAGGCATGCAACGTCGTCGAGTACAGCGAACGTTCTAGTCGTCGCGTAGAAGTGTCCCTTTCGGATCGGTTTCATAGGTGGCGACACTGCACTCCTCAACATAAGCACACGAATCAGACTATCTCATCAATAACATGAACGCTGTTTGTATTGAAACCGTAAACAGTTTCTGGCTTGTTGGAACAGATAAGAATCGTGTAAAAAAATATCTAAAGCTACGTCTACACCGAAGCAACATCGAGCAATATTATGTTGCATATTCGAAAACGTTGTCAACATTTATTCTTTGAAACCACTCCTTAAAAAACTTTGCACGACGAATTGCAGCATTATCGGGTTGGAAAATAAAATTTTGCCCTCAAATTTCATCGCCATATTCATCTAACACAAAGCCTAATATTTTTTTGAAACAATAACCTGACCCTTTTCAAAATCTGTTGAGAATTGTAAGGACGAGCATGCGCTTGCGTAGTAGATTGATCAAGTGAGCGTTAACCCCTTCCCGTACTTTAACGTACCTAACTAGAGATGGCGTGAATTGCTACTTTTGAATCACTCGTGATTCGATCACGTTCATTCCCAAACATGGTGATTTTTCACAGTGATTCGTGATTCTTCGTGATCGCTTTTGATTGGTGGGGAGCGTTCTTTTTGCTTTTCACGAATTACATATGTCCCTTAAACTGTATATGTATTATATTATAATATGGTCTAAAAGCAATGTTAACATAATTTTCTTATTAGGAGAAAGAGAATGATGTAAGTATAAGTATTATTTCTCATTGTTTCAACATTCGTTTCATAAATATTCGTAAAATTGTTCAACAAAGTAATGTAATACGCAAAAGTAACCTGTTTGTAATTTTAAATTCTAACTTATTTCTTTTTAATATAAATATATACAAAATATCATATTAATGTATAAAAACTTACTATGAATAATGTTAAAAATTAAATTTATATACATGTCACTTATGTTACAACTTTATGATTAATATTATTATAAAAGCAGTTCAGCAAGGTTTGATTACGCATATAATAAATATATGTATAATAAAGTAAGAATAACAAAATATACAAAAAATTTAGTTAAAATCATTGTGTGTATGCATGAGTACATCACATGATAGATTTATATTATTAGAAGAGCCAATTATAGCTAAAGCAGCTATTATGAGTAAAAACCTGCCACATATTTTAATATGCAAAGTAGGAAATATTAGATGAATTGGCGAAAGGATATTTTCAAAAGCTGGACTAATTTAAAACCATCAAAATTATCTATGTTGTTATTTTTAAATAATAATCCAGACCTAACCCAGCCTTTTTCATTGCTTAGACTACATTACTATACAGTTTGGCGCATTTGTAATTCTTTGAATTTCTACTGAGGGGAATTAGGGGAACACTAACGATCACAGTTAACGTGGACCGCTACTACAACGCCATCTTTCGGATCACGTTCGTGAATGGAGTCTAATCACGAGCGTGATCGTGATTTTGTGATCACTGTGATAAATCACTATTTTGCACGCCATCCCTATACCTAACCCAGGCTCGCGGACAGCAAATCACGATCGAGTTTTAGTTCCTATCGGTACGCCATAAGAGATGGTCACGATTCTTATAATCTCTGTTACAAAGCAGTTTAGCATCAGTCAGGTCTGTTCACCGAGCGTGGATGCCTACCGTTTGGGCTCGGATTTCGTCGAGCTAGATGCCACGGGAAGGGGTTAAACGTGTCTCGTGTCGAGTTAAAAGTACGAAACATCGTGAGTTAAATATGATAAACTATTATACATATATGAAACAAGTGTATTTACGTGGTGACCCTTTGAACATAACCTAATCGACATTTCAACAAAATCAGTTAAACGTTTCCCGCAACCTATTACGCTGTGAAGGTTTAACCTAACCTAAAATTCGATACAAAGAATTTAGAAATTACAGTTCTAAATTAATTTCAAGAAATACACTCCAAAATTTACAGCATTCTTTGAAAATGATACCTCGAATCTAAATGTATATCGTTTTATTAATATTATGATTTTTTACGAATTTTTGAAGAAGATACGTTTTAACGTTTAGGCTGTTTCAACTCAACTGAGTGGTGCAGCATTGATTGGGCATATGTTTACGGATCGGTGTTAATTATTGTCGTGTATCTTAAAGAATGTTCGTAGAAATAAGGGCAGAAAAGGTACAACTGATTTTAGCAACACTATTTACTTGTCTCTGCATTTATATAGTCTTTATACAAGAGCACCCAGAAACATTCGGACCTTTTATATTCTTTCTATATTAATCGAAGAATTAAATCATTACTCCGTGTCGCTATTCCCAACGTTTTCGTCCATTTATTTTCTCCATGTGCGTTGCCAAACCGTGTGACAAACTATCCACGCCGATGAAGGAGCATTTGTTTCCGTTGCTCCGTGTTATCGTATGTTGGCCATCTTTTTTTTTTACCTTTACCGATTCGAACGGAAACGGGCAACAAGCGGCGACTTTTTCAAGGAACATGAAACATCGACAAAATGTTCCTCGATTTTGCTTCAGTGTAGGCGTAACTTAATGGCCAATCGATAGCTACAATTTTCGAATTAATCTTATCGTTCAACTTCGATTTTGATAAAACGACATCGAAACCATATTTCGAACAAATCGAATCTGTGTTACTCACGCCTAAAAGATAAAATCATCGAACGATAGCAGTCGTAGTCACACGTTCTTCATTTTGAAAAACAAAGTTTTTACAATATCGATTATATAGAGTTTTTATCAATATCAAAGTGCACAATTGTTGTTCCAATTGAACAAAAATTTTCATAATAAATTTCAATAATTTCGAGGCATCGAACAATCGTGTATCTGAATATAAGTGTTGCTTGGGTCAAACGAGCGAACAACAAATATGGCGGCCATGACAGTTGCAAGTTCTATCGATCTTATTGGAAAACCCTTACACAATCATGTGGAAAACAGTATTTCTGTGTGTTGTGGAAATACGCGTACTTTTCAACAAGCGAAATATTGTAAATCGTGTAAATAGATAGGTTTGAAACGCAATATTGTAAATATTTAGTTGTTTGCGAAGAGGAAACAACGATGCTCAATGTGCAAATGAAGTTCTCGCGCGTGTAATAAACACTTAAACGCTTAATATTTATTCCGATCTATTATTTCGGTTTATAAATTACGGTTCTTGCATTATTTATGAATTGCTAAAAACGTACTGAGTAAAAAAAAAAAATCTTTGAAGTCGACAAAGGCTGTTGCTATTTATTAATATAATTAACAATAAAGTATTAAAAGAAGCTTGACAATAATGGTTATTAAAGATTCGTAACGTTAAATTATTCGTTCTGTAAATATATATCGATGTAAATATTTATTACACGCTGATATTACGAGCAATACCGATTTAAAATATGATTTTGAAACGCGTAGTATGACTACAGAATATTGTTATTATATTATTTTTAAGGGTTGTAAATATATTAAGTAACGAAAACGAATTCTAATTTGCGAGTATTTGGAAAAATCCAACATAAGTATGTTTATTATTTATGCTTGAATTTTCTTTAGTTTTGTCTCACTGGTCGCTTCGTTGGTTCCAAAGCTGATTCTCCTGGTAGAGGGGATCAAGTTACAGTATTTTCTCTATAGAAGCGACGCTCTCGGTGGTCAACGCTCGGCTATAGCGTGGACGAGATACGATTCTTGATACTTCGTTGACGCCTATTGGAGGCGGCGAGTGTAGAAAAGAACAGCGAGCGTATGACAAAAAGGGACTGAGCGCCCGAGCATCGCCAAATTGCAACGAACACAGGCGATGTTTACGCGAGCCTATACGAAATCGGTGTTCTAATTCCGACCTCTCTCGGTAGAGGTCGCAGAGTGAAATACTGATTCTGTATAGGCTCCCGTAAACATCGTCTATGTTCGATACTGTCGACGTGGAGTCACCTGACAGATGCACGCCTTTGATCGCTTATTAGGTTAGTAAATAGGATCTAAATTCTATATCGTATTTGATGTCATTTTAATCAGGAAAGCGTCACGAATGTGTTAATGAAGTTTGAAAAAAGGAAGAACAAAAATAAAGACAAATTTCGTTGTTGATTTAATATTGCATATGTACTAGTTAAATCGTGTCATAACTTCAGTGCATATATGTATGTATCGCTCGTTTACTGCAGTAGTGATATGACTCAAAAAGATACAACTTGCGAATTTTAACTAGATTTACGGAAGCCGTCAATTTGACGGATGTCTGATTCCATATTTAAAATTGCAGAACGCGTAAATATTATTTTTTAACGACTTATGTTGAATTTGATTGATGCACTGGCATGAATATATATTCTAATTAAAATAAAAATCGTATTGTAAGGTAATCGTCAACATGAAAGGTATCAATAAATATACGTGCGATCAATGCCCGTAAATCTAGTGTTAACCAACTTCTTTTACTCTGAGTTGTCTCACGATTTCGGCAAATAAATGATAGTCAATTACAATTCCTTTTTTCAGATGAGCATACGCTTTAAAGAAAGGACAAATGTATATTATAATTTATGAAAAGCAATAATAAAAATTATGTTGTACTTGATCTTAGTTAAATCAGAAAACTGTCACAGACATGGTAAAAGTTTCGAAACGAGAAAAGGAAAAATAAAAAATTTGTATTATCGCGCTGGTGTTGCCTTAGTAATTTGAACCCGTATCGTATGATAATAGGAAGGAAAAGGGATACGATATTTACCTAAACAGGGTGTTCAGCCACCCGTGGGAAAAATTTTAATGGGGTATTCCAGAGGCCAAAATAAGACAAAAATCAAGAATATCAATTTCTTGACTGAGGCTTCGTTAAAAAGTTATTAACAATTAAATTCAAAAATTTCAAATCGTTCTGGAAAAATTATTTTCAGTTGCGGGGGTCAATTACAATAATTTTTGGTGAATACACATACCACCGAAATCCTATCCACTTTTGAGAAAAAAAATCGGGTAGGTGCTGAAATTTTTTGGTTGAAAAAAAATTTTACAAATCGTTTAAAAAAAATTATTTTCGGTTGCGGGGATCAATTACAATCATCTTTAGTCATTACACATATCCCCGATTTCCTGCACACTTTCGAGAAAAAAATTCCTTACCGAAAATCTAATTAGGTGCCTATAATTTTTCGACGAGAAAAAAAACTTTCAAATCGTTCTGGAAAAATTATTTTCGGTTGCGGGGGTCGATTACAATCATTTTTGGTGAATAGACATACCACCGAATTCCTACCCACTTTCTACGAAAAAATTCGAGAAGGTGTGAAATTTTTCGACGGGAAAAAAAAATTTCAAATCGTTTTGGAAAAATTATAGTCGGCTGCGGGGGTCAATTACAATTATTTTTGGTGAATAGACATACCCCCGAAATCTTGCGCATTTTTTAGAAAAAAATTCAGTAGGGGCGGAACTTTAAACGTTAATAACTTTTTAACAAAGCCTCCATCAACAAATTGGTATTCTTGATTTTCGTCTTATTTTGGCCTCTAGAATCCTCCATTAAAATTTTTCCCTAGGCTGGCCGAACATTCATAGTCGATATACAGGGTGTCCTATGTAACTGCGATAAACTATATCTCTAAAAGTGGTGGCTGAACACCCTGTATCGTGGACGAGTTTTAAGCTTATTATAGAGAAAATACTGTATCACATTTACAGTGGTAATATTTTACTTGTATACCCGCGGCAATTCTACTAATAAATAAGATTTTTATTTTCATGGTTACTATTATGGTTTTATTGTCATCTCATTTACACTTTATAATCTAAACAAGCACATAAATACATTATCGTAAAATCGAAATTGTTCGACGAATCGCATGATATTGATCGACTGAGAATCACCATATTGGATCGTTTCTGATTAAACGTTACACTAATATACACGCATGATACAATGATCTATTATCGCTATCCATTAACACTGAAACATGTATTATGCAAGAAAAAAGGCTGAATTTGCTTCGTTGCTATTGAATTTTAAGCCTTCGAGCACTAAATACCAATACCGACTACTGCTAGGTATACGTCAAAGATCGCGCCACGGCTTCCTTCATTTTGTTCCCCGACTATTGTAAACGACAATAGTAGAAAATTTTCAGGAGATCGTTGCGTTGCGACTCGAATAAAAATGTTTGAAAATTTCTTTTAAAATATCATCAACGTCGCGAACGAAGATGTGATCACTTTCATTCGAGTACACAAATACTTGAAACTATCAATTAAATATAAATACATCGAACGGAATACCGTTATAATCGTTGGAAGAAAAAAGTCGAGAGACATCAGAAAACACAATGGCACGCAACGAACAATTAACAAATATATGATAAATAATGTGAAGTAAAAGGAAAATATTTATATTTATTCTTTTATATTAATGCTGTTTACTGATTGTCCTCGAATTTTCTAAACTTCTCTACTTGGACACGAAACATGTTTTATAGTGCGATCACAGATTTACATGTAACTTTGAGAATCATATTTGAGACACGTTTCATAGTATTACAGACTTCTCGATATTATTGTTCGTAATAGGACATTACTTTGTCGATGATTATTGTCGAGCACAGAATTACATTATGATAAAAAAAAAAAAATTTGCTCCTAACGAAATTTTATTTCTCTAATTAAGTAATACGCAAAGCATACTTTACATATCTAATAAAACGCAATTTAGTTGATTGATTCGACACGTTGACTGCCAGACCGCGTACAATTTTCTATCGGACCAAAACTTTGATTTTTCGTCACTGTAAATTACATACTCGAAAATTTATTACTCTTTTAACCTTAAATTTATGTCTTTTAACATCTCAACTTGTGAATTAATTTTTTCTGTTTTCTAGCGACAAGTTATTTAATCGATATATGGCCAACGTGGCAGTCAAAGTGTTAACGTAGAAATCAATTACACAAAATCACGTTTTGGTATCGAACGAACGTAATCAAAGTAAAATGACAGTATCTTATTTGCTAATAGATTCGTAACATTGTAAATAATATAAAAACGGTTTTTAGCGTATTTATAAGAATAAAGAAAAGTATCAAAAACTACAATTACAACTACCTATTCGTATACATTTGAGATTACGTTAAAGAAATGTTCTATTCCATCTACGGAAATAACCACAAACTTCCCAAAACTGAAATACTATAGCCTTGTGTAGTTTGCGTTTGTAATTGCATATCGCACATAGACTGTACAAGTGACGTGACTCAAAAACGTACATTTTTCTGAAGCTAAAAACTGTCGGCAAAGTTACGAACTAATTATTTACTGAACTCGTAATATCAGATAAAAGAGCATGTTGTAGAGAAGACTGATAAAAAAATTATTTTCTAAACGAGTGAAATAAATCCTACCTGGCGAACTATCCTATCGATATCCTTCTGTTTTTTTTATAGTACCTCGAAAATCGTATTTTTTGTGTTGCATCGCTTTTGTAGCCTACGCGCAATATGGTCTTGTACGTGGATGACCAAAGCAATTATACTGGGAAAAATTTTAATGAGAGATTCTAGAGGCCAAAATAAAACGAAAATCAAGAGTACCAATTTGTCGATGGAGGCTTCGTTAAGAAGCTATTAACGTTTAAAGTTGCGCCTGTAGGTAGGCAACCTGCGCGCAGCTAGGTGCGCGCGATACTGGTTCTCACTCAGCGTGAGAGACTCTACTCACTGACGTATCGATAGCCTTACAGTGAGAGCCACTATCGCGCGTGCGCAGCTGTTCTCAAGTTGCCGTTCCACAGGCGGAACTTTAAACTTTAATAACTTTTTAACGAAGCCTCAATCAACAAATTGCTATTCTTGATTTTCGTCTTATTTTGGCCTCTAGAAGCTTCCATTAAAATTTTTCCCATGGGTGGCCAAACACCCTGTAAATCGGAGTAACAAATTTTGGTCGACAAATCTGATCCAATAAAATAAAAGTTCTTATACCGATTTATATTTCCTAAACATCCATACACTATTAACAACGTTCCATAAAAACTTAAATATTTTTAAACGCTTTGTTCCATGTATGAGCACCGCCATTTTCCTTAAACGTATTTAGGATTAGGAAGTTAAGTAGAACGCACTGAAATAAATTCGGTACAAATCTATTAAACATATAGGGTGTCTCATTTTATCTTTCCTTTTAATTATCTCTAAAACTATTGGTTATTCAAAGAAAAGGTTTTAACGAAACTTATTCCGTTTCGACTACTTTTATCTATGCAATCAGATTCCATTATTTGACTAGATGCGTAGTTTGTGTAACAAGAAATAAAGAGCCAAGTGTACGTAGAATCGATCGACAGTATCAAATTTTTCAAATAATACTTTACAATTCGTATAATTCTAAAATTCACTGTACAGATCACAGAATGTAAATCACAGTATGCAAATCGTATGTAGTAAATTTTATCCGAATTATCCGTTTGAGTAACCAAATAGTTTGAGCGGTAGTCGAGTAGAAAGATTAAATGGAGCACCTCGTGTAATATTCAGCTGTAAGACATACTGTATATTGACACAAAACATAAACAATCTGCTATCAGCGACAAAATTCGGTAATAGGAATCTGTAGAAATAAATAAATATTGTATAATGTCGGTCGATATAATTACTTGAGAATTACTGAGAATACTTCAAAATTCACTCGTTTAAATCTAACAATTTTATCTATATACTTAATGAAAAAATTACATATTCGCTCGAACAAATTTATTGAAATATATTTCCAATTGTATAAACATGACGTATTGAAAAGTAAGAGAAATTGATATGGTCATGTGGAACACTGATAAGTATAAATTGTCGCTAAGATAATTCAATTTGTCGAAGCAACGACTTTGTTTTAATTTTACGAAACAAGCATACAAGTTAACTTATTAATTTGTTATGCGATGAATAGCATCTATTCATTCGTAATCGACATCTATGGGGCTGAGAAGTTTTCGACGAAGGAAATTATCGGTTGCCGGTAATAAGATGAATCTTCTGAAACCGTGTCAACAATCTCCGTGCAAGGCTTGAATGTGGGGTACTCTCAACTTAAAGTTTCGCCTTAACGACCTTGTCGGCGAGTTGATGGCGTAGTTGGACGAGGACCCATCTGTGGGATTCTCCCTAAAATATACATCGCAAATATTCGTATTAGAAAGTACATAATGGTTCCTTAAATTACATTGCAGAGGTCGAGGCACTGAACCAACCGCATCGGTTGTCTATTTTTTTTATCTTGCTTGGTTTCGAAAATAACATAACCTGATGTGAACAGTTTTCTCGTTAAGTTTACTCATACAGACCAAGCTAATTTGTTGCGTATCAGTCGTTGTTACCGACTGAGCGACGGGCCAAGAACGATATGGGCCTCTTCTCGTTCTTAATATACCCACATACGAAGTTGTCGTCATGGTGTTTTGGTGTTTTATGAAGAAAGGAAAGAGAAACGATAAAGAGAATTATATCACAGACGAGGTATACGAGTAAACCTTACACCTTATGGACATTCCTGGCCCCATCTGACTGCCATACCGATCTGAAAACTCGGAGGTGATTTTAGCGCCCTCTTATCATGGATGGCGGTCAGATGAAAAACTATTCACTGAATTGGTATTGATGGGGAGACAGCTGTGGGTAAATACATGTGAGTTGACTATGGAATGGATTAAAAAAAGTGTTAGACAACTTTTCTGTAGGGCGTCAAACAAAATTATTAAAAATCAAAAACGAATTTTTAAGAAAAATCGACAGGAGGTAGGTGCCTAAATTTTTTGACGAAAAAAAAAGATTTTAAATCGTTCTGAAAAAATTATTTTCGGTTGCGGGGGTCAATTACAATCATTTTTGGTGAACGCACATACCCCCTAAATCCTGCGTATTTTCGAGAAAAAAATTCATGAATGTGGACAAATTTTTTGACAAAAAAGAAAAATTTTTAATCGTACTGAAAAAATTATTTTCGGTTGCGGGGGTCAATTACAATCATTTTTTGTGAATGCACATACCCTCGAAATTCTACGCATTTTCGAGAAAAAAATTCGCACTGTTGGTAATGTTGCGAGTGACACGAAAACGGTAATGGGGCTCTAGAACCCCATAAAAATGGACCAAAAAAATACATTGGATGTGAGGTCTACTCGTATACCTCGTCTGTGGTTTCGTCCTGGGTCTGCTAATGGACTCGTCGGTAAGGTAGCCAGCCCTATTTTATTAATGATCGGTCAAGAAGGGCACACATAGAAATAGGTAGTTGATCGAGCACTTGTAAGAGACCTAGAAAGGTCTTTTTCTTATCGTTTACTTTGCACCAAATAGAGTCAGTGAAAACACTAAATGATCAAAAAGATAACATGAACAATTTATGAAACGTTTAAACAAGAACACGGAATACGGGTCAAAATTGATCAATTTTCATTGGCAAACTGTTAACCTTCGGTTGGTGCCGTTGGGTCACAAATGATCCAATTATTTTTCTCGACATAACCTACAATTTTTAGGAATGCGCGAAGAAATCAGTTTTGCTTAGAATCCTGAACAGTAATTACCCAAAGATGTTCTTCGTGTTTGTTTTTGTTGCCATTGTGATCGAATCAGATTTTTTTATTTTAATTTAAAATAGTTGGCTCCAGCGATTAAATTTGAACTTTTACCCATTTTTATTATTCTCGTATATTATTTTACTCGTTTATGTTACATTCTCTCTCTGTAACTAAGAAAAATTTTGCACTTCTCATGCAAAACGCCAATAGATTGCAAATAACCGAACGATACCAGTCAGTAATAGCGTCGGTCTTTAACATACACTATCTTTTCCTTCCAATTAAAATTTGCTCGAATCGTTAAACTATCCAAGCTATTGACAATTCCTTTTCTCTCGTAACCCACAGTCGAACTTCCACTTAGAGTATAAGACAAACTAACACATATGTATATTAATCTAAGAACGAACAATTAAAAATCTAGTATCTAAAACTATCTATCGAACGATGAAAGACACGTACCGGCTGAAACAATGTTCTAATCGATGTAACAACACATTACAGATCTAACATCGAGACACCAACGATGCAGCTAACTACTATGAACCATCTATCGTCCTTCCACGAGAAGAAGCCACAGCGTGTTTACATCCCCACTCTTGCTGCAGTCCGCTGATTGGCCGTCACCGATCGTCATCACCGTTTTCGACCAATACCTGTGAGTCAGCGGACTGCAACAGGAGTGGGGATGCAAACACGCTGTGGCTTCTTCTCGTGAAAGAATGGCACGTAGAAGAAAAAGAAGGAGGAGGAGCAGAATAGAATGCACATTTAGTGAAGATTTTGCACAAAATGGTAAACTGCGGATGTCTGTGTTCTTTTTATCTGCCAAATTTCGCTTAACAGTTTATTTCGTATTTATAATAATTTATTTTGATGAAATGAAAGCACACCACGATGAGATCGGACGATGAAATGAAAGAAAGACAAGTAGAAAGACACGAAGAGAAACAGAAAGCATCACGTGAGAACCTAATGGCCTGACCTGTCAACCAGATATCGAGGTGATCGCGAAAATCGCGATGCGCTTAAAGATGGAAGCCAACCAAGACGCGCCAAAGCCCCGATGTGTCTTTTACTTGCTTGATATGTTTTTGTGTAGCCGATCTCGTCTATCTCCGGCTGCGTCTCTTCTATGGGACCTGTTTCTAACATTCGTAATGCTTAGTGGTCTGCTTGAGCGCTAAAAAATCACGAGTCGAGACGAAACGAAGATTTCCCATTCGCCTTGAATAGAGGGCGTGGTCACGTGACTATCGTCACGATTTTTCGGGCATTTCCAATTGGCTGACGAGAAATTGTTTCGAACAAAAGTTGATCGGTTTCCGGCCAATTATTAACTTCGGTATAACAAATTTTGTTTACTATACGAAATCAAGGTGACCTTGATTTTTTAAGATGAAACGCATATCTTTGTTTCTGCGTATTATTGTAGCTCGTGTCGAGACAAATACAACGATAGTAAGATAACTTTCGATGTTATTGTTGGGTACAGTAAGCATCGCCAGGAGGCGCTGCACACGCTGTCACGCCTTCAAAAATTTCACATCTTCTCGAATTTTTTCCTAGAAAGTGGGTAGGATTTCGGGGGTATGTCTATTCACCAAAAATGATTGTAATCGACCCCCGCAATCGAAGATAATTTTTCCAGAACGATTTATAATTTTTGAATTTAATTGCTAATAACTTTTTAACGAAGCCTCAGTCAAGAAATTGATATTCTTGATTTTTGTCTTATTTTGGCCTCTAGAATCTCCCATTAAAATTTTTACCAGGAATACCTCATATAGTGTAAGAAGACAGAGAGTAAATGTATCTGGGTGATAACAATCGTGGTAATTCACAATGTGCACCTTCTCATATCGCGACAAACTCAACAGTTATCGTTTATGTCAATAATATGCGGAAAAATATGTGTCCTTGACGTTTCGTAGTAAACAAAATTTATTTGAAACTTTTTATATCGAAGTTTGTAGCCGACCGATTAATTTTCGTCTGAAATATTTTTTCTTCGGACCATTGGGAGCGCTAGAAAAATTGTGACGACAATTACGCATCCACACCCTTTACGGAATTCTCGACAATTTTGAAAACTTTATTTTTTTTATTCTATGGAAGTAAAAGGACTGGGGCCCTAAATTAACAAAAAGATGTACTATAGATATACCTATACAGAGTTTTCGGAAATACCAGTCAGCATTTTTCTCGGAAGTGGGTGCGTTTATTAAGAAAGCTTTATTTTTTTCTATAACCAACGCAACAGTCTGCACTAATTTTTTATATTTGCAATCATTTTCCAGAAACGATGGTGACCATCAATTTTTTTTCAATGACGGACTGATTTCAAGTAAACACTTCCTACCGTTTCACAAATATCGTATTTATTCGCGATAACAAAAGAACGCGTACGAGTGACGAGGAAGAAACGCGCGGTTGGTCCGGTAGAGCGCGCACATGACCAATAGAAGCACGTCGCCAAGACCGCGAGTTTTAAACTCTGTCTCACGGTTTTGAAAAAAAAAAGTGAACACGATAAGATTTGGAACGGGAAAGCTGTAGAAACTGTAATCGAATTGTTTTTTCCATGCATCGAAGAACAGTTTTACTTACCCATGAACCTCTTCTCAGCGTTTAAGTACTGATCGGTAAGAGCATCCATCGTTTCTTCGTAATCGAAAGCATTGGTATTCTGGATTACTGGTAACGGGTACTCGTCGGAGAAACTGATTTGCCTTTTGGGCCTCCTGTCGTTGTAATCAATTTGAGCGTTATTCTGCTGATGACGAGAAAGAATTTTCATAAGCATGGCCCCGGGGATGCTGACTCCTCTCTTGAAGAAAGTAGGCCAGGCCATGTTTTTGCTCAAAGAGGCGACGTTCCTTTTGCCTTGTTGCGGCAACGGAAAACTGTCTGCCTTGGCCAAAGAGCCAACGTATCGTTTACCATTGGGTAGCCCGTAATCTCTGACTATGGAGGCGATATTCCTCTTGCCATTTTGAGGGAGATTGTAACCTCTGGCCAGAGAACCGATGTTTCTTTTTCCAGCGAAAGGTAACGCGCGACCATTAATGTTGTTCCCCTTGGTCTGGAGTTCGTAATCGCGCATCACCGACGCGATATTTCGTCTGCCCGGCGGCAGCGCGAAATCTCTGGCCAGGGTACCAACGTTCCGCTTCTCCATTAGCAAATCTGACGCCAACGCGTCCATATCTAGCTCCTCGTTCGGCAGCAAATATTCCCGTGGAACTGTCAATGCGCTCTGTCCAGATTGTTCACTGTTTAACAAAATATTAAAATTACACATTAACCGAACGCACGCTTTATAAACATTGAGGTTATGAAATAATTCACACTTTCTGAATTATAGAAAAGGGCTACAGTGACTGTCACTTAAAATCAATATATTGTAATGTTTCTCTTTTAATTTATTCACTACACGGTCCTCTTCTTTGTATCGTTTTATTATACATTGAACTGTGCTTCTACTTCCGATTAATAATTTTACTAATTTCGTTATAACTTTTTTTGTTTTTATTGTAATAAATAACTAATTCGCGCTCTGCTACTGTAGTTTGTTGCATTTTAAGTCTTTTTTTATTGACTTTAGCAGAACGACGCATAAGTATTTCGGGCGCTCTGCTACGGTATTCCCCCGTCATATCTCCGTTCCAACGCTACCAACTACAATCAGTAAAAATAACTACACGCATTCTTGAAGATATACGACAGTACTTGACACAGATTAGCAAATATATAACAATGCTGCGCCACTTAGTTGAGTTTGAACAGCTCAAACGTTCAAACGAAACTTTTCAAAAAATTTGTAAAAAATTATAGTATCCATAAAGTGAAACAATTTAAGGTTAACAAGGTACTATTTTCAAAGAATGCTGTACATTCTGGAGTTTGTTTTCCTGAAGTTAATGCAAAACTATAATTTCCAAATACTTTGTATTGAATTTTAGGTTAGATTAAACCATTATGATATAATAGGTCGCGGGAAACGTTTAACTAATATTGTTGAAATGTTGATTGGGTTATGTTAAAAGGGTCATCACCCAATCGTCCACCCAGTGGTTCCGCTGATATTTTTGTCAATAAAACATGAAAATTGTACTAAATTATTGAAACGCTACTGTAGTTTGTCGCATTTTAAGTTTTTTTTATTGATTTTTTGACAGAACAACGCGCAGAACAACAATCAGAGTGCTGCTAAATTAGCTAGATTCAATCGTTGCTAAGAGTTGTTAGACAAAAAGCAATTGGGGATTCACCGGATTCCCAATGTTACCAACGGTGCACGATTTTTATTGACAACTAACGCAACCTCAAATTTTATTTAATTTACTGAGTACTACTAAAGGTTTTTTTTATATTGTTGTTATGTATCAAATAAAGAAACTGAATGATGTTTGTCGCTCATTTGAATAGCACGCGTGAGCGATCATCATTTTTCAAGTAGTTATGTAGTATTATTCTTTTCCAATCTCTATAGTATAAGGATTTTGTATCATGTCGTAGTTAATAAATATATTTAGTTTATAAACTAAGAGAAACATTATGCCTCTAGACGAGTTTCAATAATTTAGTACAATTTTCATGTTTTATTGAAAAAATATCGGCTGAACCGTTCGGTGTACGATTTTAAGTGACAGTCACTGTATATTAATATGCAATTATCATATATGCGTAATCGTAACGCCTGCTTTTGATACTGACGCCATTTATTTACAAAGCTCGCTCTCGCGGCAGACACACGCACTCATACAGTTAGGCGGTAAATTCAAATTACTTGATTGCACTCACAAGGAACCATCGCGAACGGTCCGGCTTCGATTTTGATGAAACTTTGTACACTTATAAAGCAGCCAAAAATAATCGACACGTATTTTTTTTTAGCTGCGGTAACTCGAGTTTAAGGGGTGAAACCACCCCTTGAAGTTTTGGCTCGAAACGGCTATCTCGAAAACGGAAAGACATAGAAAAAAATTGTTAATGGGCGAGGTTGATGGTTTCTTATGTACAATAACATGGTGTTAAAAAATTAAAAAAAATACAATTTGTTTATAACAAAAAAAAATTTATTAACTTAATTTTTCATTTTATTGAAATTTTCATAATGACAAAAAATGACGAGCATTTTATTCCAAATCCATTGGGATGCGATTTTTTAAAATTGCCTCCTACAGTTTTGCAGATTTTTATGATTTACATCTTGCGCGCACATCCATTATGGTAGTAGCCGTTCTAACTTTGATTTAGTGCAAGCCTACAGTGCTTCATTAAAATCAAAGTTAGAACGGCTACTACCATAATGGATGTGCGCGCAAGATGTAAATCATCAAAATCTGCAAAACTGTAAAAGGAAATTTTAAAATATTACATACCAATGGATTTGGAAAAGTTCGGCCACCCTTGGGAAAAATTTTAATGGGAGATTCTAGAGGCCAAAATAAGACGAAAATCAAGAATATCAATTTGTTGATTGAGCCTTCGTTAAAAAGTTATTAAAAAATTAAATCAAAAAATTTCAAATCCACCAGGAAAAAATTATTTTCGGTTGCGGGGGCCAATTACAATCATTTTTGGTCAATACATATACCCACGAATTCCTACGCACTTTCGAGAAAAAAATTCCTAATCGAAAATGTAATTTAAGGCCAGAAATGTTGTCCGAAAATTTCATGCGGATCTTTAAAATGTCATAACTTCTGAACGGATTGATGGATTTTAATTTTCAAAAATGCAAACGACGCGTATTTTAATCAAAAATACGTAGAAATCGCAAAAATATGCAAAAAGTTGATCCTTGACCCCGCAAAATGAGAAAAACCCCATAAAAATGGTCCAATCTTCAAACAGCCATAATTCCTACAATAGTGAATATATTTCAATGAAACTTTTTTCTGAAGTAGAGCTCATAGGTACCTACATAAAAGTATTGGCCAACTTTTTTGTAGGGCGTCAAACAAAATTATTAAAAATGAAAAACGAATTTTTAAGAAAAATCGACAGGGCGGAGGTGCCTAAATTTTTCAGCGAAAAAAAAAAATTTCAAATCGTTCTAAAAATATTATTTTCAGTTGCGGGAGTCAATTTCAATCATTTTTGGTCAATATATATACCCCCGAAATCCTACGCACTTTTGAGAAAAAAATTCGAGAATGTGTGAAATTTTTCAACAAAATTAAAAAATTTCAAACCATTCTGAAAAAATTATTTTCGGTTGCAGGGGTCGATTACAATCATTTTTGGTCATTACACATTCCCCCGAAATCTTGGGCATTTCGGAGAAAAAAATTCAGTACGGGCGGAACTTTAAACGTTAATAATTTCTTAACGAAGCCTCCATCAACAAATTGGTATTCTTGTATTTTTCCCGATTTTCTCCTCTAGAAGTAGTGCAAGCCTACAGTGCTTCATTAAAATCAAAGTTAGAACGGCTACTACCATAATGGATGTGCGCGCAAGATGTAAATCATCAAAATCTGCAAAACTGTAGGAGGCAATTTTAAAAAATCGCATACCAGTGGATTTGGAATAAAATGCTCGTCATTTTTTGTCATTATGAAAATTTCAATAAAATGAAAAATTAAGTTAATAAATTTTTTTTTGTTATAAACAAATTGTATTTTTTTTAATTTTTTAACACCATGTTATTGTACATAAGAAACCATCAACCTCGCCCATTAACCATTTTTTTGTATGTCTTTCCGTTTTCGAGATAGCCGTTTCGAGCCAAAACTTCAAGGGGTGGTTTCACCCCTTAAACTCGAGTTACCGCAGCTAAAAAAAAATTCGTGTCGATTATTTTTGGCTGCTTTATAAGTGTACAAAGTTTCATCAAAATCGAAGCGAGACCGTTCGCGATGGTTCCTTGTCAGTCGGTTCAGTGAGCGCCAACAAAGTAGTCTATTTCGAAATTGGGTAATAATAAGGCGTAAAGGTGGACCCACAAAATACTAGAAAATTAATACAAAATAAAAAAGTTACCATAATATACGATTCTTCGACAAAATCTACATTGATACGAATACTTCTGTGGCCTGTTATTATGTACTATGCAGAGTAAAATCAATGTAGTTTTGTTATTAGTTAATCAGTTTTGTTATGATTTAGTATAAATAAACTTTATACATGTGTTCATTTGTAATAAAAAATTTATTGCAAAACTTTAAATGCATCCTTTGATTTCAACAAGCTTCTCTTACCAGCAACGAGGTATTATTCTTTTATTAATATTGAATAAAATTTTGTGCCTACACTTTTCTCGTACAATGAAGCCAATTGTTCCAAGCGTTGTAAAACAAATTTTAAAAGAATTAAAGGGATGTGTTACGCATAGGACATTGATAACGAAGCTAGTCGAAGGCCGAAATTCTATGGCGCAGTAAAGCGTAATTGTATAATCCGCTGTATACAGGGTCTCCAATTAAAATAAATCCAGCTGAATATCTATGAAACTATTGATGATGGGGATTACAGATAAAACTTTGATGGTTTGATGGGACACAAAATTTGATGTAGATAAGTTTATCCTGCAGGATCTATTATATGAATCTATGAATAGAAATATGTCAAAAAAATATTAATAAATAATAAAATGCAAGAAAATAGGTGGAATTGCATACCTCGAAACAACGGTCCTCTTATCTTCGTCGTCTTGATTTTCAGCAAGACGATCCTGAACACTGATAGGTAGATCGTCATTTTTGGCCAGCATCGCGATGCTCCTTTTGCCATTGTCGATATCGTCGCTGTAACCTAGCTGACGCATCGACGAATCAGATGGATTTTGCGTTCTTTCAACGACGTCAAGATGGCCGCGCATAGCTGGATCTCTGAACAGATCCAAGTAAACTCCATCGGGTATGCAAATTTCCGTGTCGTCGTAATTCTCTGCGGTTAAGGTCTCTAAGAGTTCGAGGTCGTTGCGATTCTTCGCGTCCTGAATCATCCTTGCCTTCGAATACAGAGATAAATTCGAACTGACTTCCGGTAGACGTAACAGGGCCAGGAAGACTCCTTTTGGTATACACTGAGCGCTTTCCCCCGCTTGGCATTTCACCTGCGCCATAAAAACAACGTTTTCAATTACTTTAAAAATATGCACTGTCCAACCAACAGAATTACAAAAGAATTCGATCAACGAAAGTGTGAGTTTGACTTAGAAAGAATTGAATTTCGAGTGCAAAACCTGTATCAACGTGTTAGTTGTTTTTATCAGGTGTACAAAATGAATAATCAAAATTATCTTAAGCGGTTATAAAATCAAGTTTAAAGCCAATAGATTTTCCCGCTCTTTTGCGGTCATATAGTGTTGACATATAGCTAGTCGAAACAAAAGATAGGTTAGGGAAAGGTCCAACATAACCTTCAAAAGTATTCGATTCAGTAGAGTCGAAAATGGCGACAGATAAAGTGTGGTCAAACGCCCTGTATAAACATAGCTGTAACTGTAGCTGCCATATCTGTTTACATTGTATAAAGCCATTGAAGAAATGTATAATGCTAGAAAACTACGTTCCAAAAATCCGGTCGAGTAAATATTTTATAATTTTTATTAAAGATTACGAATGGATCATTTTGACCACTCAGGTAGTACTAGTGTTAATAATATAGAAAGAAAGAATTCGAAAGTTATTACTTATAGTAATGATTCATGCTAAAAATCGTCCAGTAGCGTTTTTTTTCTAATTTTGTTTATAGAATATTTTATATAAAAGAAAGTAGAATTTATAGTAAAATTTATTTATTTAACAAGCTGGCCATGCCCTCGTGTTCATTTTAACATTTTTCTATAAAAGTATTTGTTGGAATAAAAGTCACTGCATCCCAACACTAGTTGCAAGTTCAGCAGTTGGTATCCCTGGTGGGGATCAGACATGTATAAATACGGGGCGTGCGCGGCCCCCTTCTTCTGGAGTGCTCTGTCTCGAACTGTTGCGTTAGGTTACGTTGAACTGGAGTTGCACGTGTTTAAATGTAAATTTAGAAATATAAGTTTTGTGTTCAAATTAATTATAGTGTAGTATTCATTTGGTGTGCCACGGCCACGTGCTGCGCAGTATTTGTAACGTTACTGAACATATAATTATTATAATTATTTGTTTTTCGATATTTCTAATAAAATTAAATTAAAACGGAGAGAATAAAATTTGTCGAATTAGGAATACAAAGATATAAGGATGTCTGTCCTTTAATATAAATAGTTTCAGGTTGTTGAACTAAGGGGGAAAAAAGTGAAACCCTATTTAAAAAATTGCAACGCTCGTAGTTGAATTCGAAAACGTGAAATAATCGTATCCTTTGTTCGAGTCGTTCAGCATAGAGAAACTCATCGCGGAGTAATGAGTGTGTCGTCTTTAAACAAGTATATTTCCAAGTGTGTACTCGACTTTCATACGACATGTTCTCATTTACCGTCATCGTGCTTCCACATAACGGAAATTACTGATTGCCGATAAAACTACAACGATGATACGAAGAAGGTCCTCGTTGCAGATTACGTTTCAATTCCAGTCTTGATAAACTTTCTACCTTTCACTGTATATTCCGTAACTGTGAATTTTAATTAGAAAATTTACATATTCGAGCTTACGAGAGCGTAAACTATTTCTAAATGCAAGTTTATTTGCTAAAACATGTTTTAAAAAATATATTTAAATGTGTTCTCAGAAGATATCCATCAGTTGTTGATAAACAATGAAATCAGTAAAATAAAAGAGTTGTGAAGAAGTTGTAAAATAAATTTATAAAAAAAATGAATAGAAATGTATACCATCAAATTTATTTTATGTATTTTAACAACTTGGTATCAGGAATCGAACAATATTAACCCAAGTCAAATTAAAAAATTAATTCAGAGTATACTATACTGTTTACGAGTAATTATAGTAATATAATTTATTGGAAAATATTTAAGAAAAGTAAAATGCGTTAATTTACTTTTCGAGGATCACTCTAGTCGTATTACATTTTTTATTTCCCCTTTTCTTAATTGTAAAATATTAAGTTATTTACATTGTATACGATCGTTTGTTTATTGTGTTATACTACTATACATACATATACAAGAGTCAACTCATCAAACATATTATCTGATTCATTTCTTTTGTGATTATGTACAACGCTGATCGTTTGCTTACTTTTCAACACGACTGTATACAACGCAAGAGATTTACACAGAGTGCATATCTACAATTTATCTAACGTGTCTGACTAATACTCGTTATTTTTACTTACGCTGTGAGTCTACAGGAATTGATATTAATATTATTTGTTGACAACAATACGCAGAATTTAACTTTAGATAGTTTATTAAACGTATAAAGATATACAAATGAAGTGCGTGAACAACTAACCTATAATTTAACTAAAGTGTTGGCATCGATTCATAGAGCGCGCTTATGTCGATCATCCGTTAACATTTGTTTTGACTAGTTTTGGTTAGTTGGAAATGGTAAGATTACATTGAAGTCAATGTTTAAGGGGATATTCTACTACAAACGTTTGGAAAAATTGATATTTCGAAGCATTCCCTTATGAATGTGATTTGAGAAATATACATATGTACAAAGTCTAATATCTGAACTTCTCGTTCCTTTCATATTTTTTTAGATCACGAAAATAATAACTTTAAACGCGTTTTTCTTAGAACTACATTTTTTTAACTGGTTCCTATAATGTCTCAACATCTACTTAACCGATTAACACACAATTTGGTCTGCAATTTAATATCTTCTTTCTTTCAAAATTTTGTCGACGTGTATGAAGAATTCTGACAAAAATGGTATATTATAGTTCGAAAAAATTACGAAGAAAGTCCTAAAAATACAACAATTATTTTCTTGCGTAGACAACCTAAATTATATAATAAATTTTTGTGAAACAAAATAAATGAAACAATATGCTCACGATCCAAATAATATTGGCATAAATTTCAAAGCACGATCTTAAACGATAGAGTTCAAATGGCACGTGTCGTCCACAGGTTGCAGTCGCGTAACCTGAATAGAAAACAATTCACAACCCCTACTCGAAGTTAATTAAATTTCTTCCTATCTTTCTTGCATAACAATTATACAGCTGACAAAGGAAATTTTATTACTTCTAAACTGTGCAAATTTGTTGGGAACCTCTAAGGAAGTTTTGACTTATTTTTATTAACAATCACAATTCGTTTCATTAGGGTGAAAACACCAGGTATACAGGGTGTTCGGACATTTCTGGGAAAAATTTTAGTGGGAGATTCTAGAGGCCGAAACGAGACGAAAATGAAGAATACCAATTTGTTGATGGAGACTTCGTTAAAACGTTATTAACAATTAAATTCAAAAATTTCAAATCGTTCTGGAAAAATTATTTTCGGTTGCGGGGGTCGATTATAATCATTTTTGGTCATTACAGATACCCCCGAAATCCTACGCTCTTTCGAGAAAAAAATTCCTTACCGAAAATCTAATTAGGTGCCTACATTTTTCGACAAAAAAAAAATTCAAATCGTTCTAAAAAATTATTTTCGATCGCGGGGGGTCGATTACAATAATTTTTGGTGAATATACATACCCCCGGAATCCTACCCATTTTCTAGGAAAAAATTCGAGAAGGTGTAAAATTTTTCTACTGGACTTAATTAATTTAGAAAATATGCATGAAATTTTCACCCTCGGCTCTTAAACACCGTTCTATTATCGTCTAATTTAATAGCGTTCCGCCTCATTATGCATTATTATCTAAACGGTGTATTCCAAAATCAATGAATCGGGCGTGGTGGACGAATAAATTGGCGAATCAGAAACTGGACTAGAAAATAGTAAATTATTTTCTCACGGGGATATTTAAAATGTATTTTTGTATCAAATGTCAGCTATAATCAGCGATCAATATGTGAATAGTTATTCGGAGAAAGGACCTTGTCTGCTAAACCCTCGTTTCGAAATATTGAAATTTCCAATCTTCAAAAACTTTAGTTTTATTGTTGACAAAAATAATGCACAGATGATCGTTGAGCTTTAAAAAACTCAACAATTTGTTTAAAACGAATACAAAATTACGTCAAAAGGTGGGAAGAAATAACACTGCATAATATTCTAGCGAAACTAATAAACGTTTATGTTTCAAATTTTACGTAATAATGGCAAACATAGAGTAGTTAAAAAGTTTGGTCTAATCCAAAGATTAGATGAAATAACGATTCTTTTATAGTGCAGATAAATTTTGAATAACAAAATTACAATTTACCTTCGCTTTATCAAAATTAAAAAAACGAATAGATAATAAAATCACAACATATGAGCCTTGGGTAAATATTAATTATTAACTTTAATAATTTAATTTTAATTCACAGTATACTAAAATTTTTATTTTTTTTTGGTATTCAAAACTAACAATATGTCATTAAAACCTAAAATTTCATATCACATTGTGTAATCTTCAAATGACAAAAAACTATTAATATGCAAACAGGTTTCATATCACATTGTGTAGTCTCAATGTGATCGTGAAATTTACAGAAAACTATTAATATGCAAACAAGTAGATTAAATGATTTATTCTAAAATTTTGTTATATTTTAACCATGATTGCATGATGGAAGTGTTAAAATTACGATTCGTCCGTAAATATCACTGGTTGACAAGTAATTTTTCTGTATTATTTGCTACGTGACAAATTAAATAAGGTTATCATTTTTTTTAAATATATAATTTGATGTTCTAAATTACCAACAGTAGGTATTTCAAATATACGTCCATTTGTTCTTATCGATGCCTAGAATTTGAGAAAGAAAATTCTTAGAAACACTGCTCGCGGATGACTCATCAATAAGGCTTTAGCAATGGATCCTTCTTCGGATTTGTGTCCTATATGGAAACTGTCTCCTCCACGAGAAGACTTTATCTCAATCACACCTGTGACAAAGATCCGCCATTTAATGGATAGTTTACTAATCGTTAAATGGCGGATCTTTTTTCGAATTTCATCTACATACGTAGCAGATAGTTTCCATCGTAAATGGCGAATCCGTAAGTCAGGATCCCCTGGGAAAGCCTTTGATAAATCCCTTAGTGAATTTAGGACGAAGCGCCATGTTGGTGCTTATAGGATCAACAAGTTCCACTTTCAGACGGAACGTATCATAAATTATTTCTGATTTTTATCAAACGTGCCAGGATTAACGATATTAACATAAGAATATTATTTCACTATACAGGGTGTTCGGCCATCCCTGGGAAAAATTTTAATGGAGGATTCTAGAGGCCAAAACAAGACGAAAATCAAGAATACCAATTTGTTGGTGGAGGCTTTGTTAAACAATTATTAACGTTTAAAGTTCCGCCCGTACAGAATTTTTTTTCTCGAAAATGCGCAGGATTTCGGGGATATGTCTATTCACCAAAAATGATTGTAATCGACCCCCGCAATCGAAAATAATTTTTTCAGAACGATTTGAAATTTTTTTTGTCGAGCAATTTAGGCACTTCATTAGATTTTCGGTACGGAATTTTTTTCTGGAAAATGCGTAGGATTTCGGGGGTATGTGTAATAACCAAAAATGATTGCAATTGATCCCCGCAATCGATAATAATTTTTCCAGAAAGATTTGAAATTTTTTTTCCTGTCGAAAAATTTCACACCTTCTCGAATTTTTTCCTAGAAAGTGGGTGGGATTTGGGGGTATGTCTATTCAGCAAAAGTGATTGTAATTGACCCTCGCAACCGAAAATAATTTTTTTAGAATGATTTGAAATTTTTGAATTTAATTGTTAATAACTTTTTAACAAAGCCTCCATCAACAAATTGGTATTCTTGATTTTCGTCTTATTTTGGTTTGGAGAATCCCCCATTAAAATTTTTCCCAGGGTTAGTCGAACACCCTGTATACGCGAATAATGATACAGAGTTTGCTATAACAGACGAACGAAGTGCAATATACGATTTAGTTATTTTTTAAATAAGTCAAGCGTGTTGAAACTACCAGCTATTATCATTTTTTGTAATTGTTTCTTAATGGTTTGGTTGTGGGAACGTTCACAAATTATAAACCCAAAAGTTAACATTTAGTGAAATAAAAACCACTTCCTAATGTGCTTTTTAATAATATATACATATATACATGTATATTTTAACGTAATCTATTTAATTGTTGAAACTATCAGCTATTATCACTTTAGTAATTATTCATTAATGGTTTTTGATCATTGAACAATTTACAACGAGGGATGGACAAATCAATATTTAGTTAAATAATAACTACTATCTAATGTGTTTTTTAATAATATACATATCTATATTTTAATGCAAGGAATAAAATTTTTGAATTCGTTGATGGTGAAAGAAGATGAATCGTCAGATACAGTCGAGGTAGAATGAAAATGTCCATCATTATTAATTGTTCGTGTTTAATCGTTATGTTCAATTATTGACAGAATACTAAATCCATTATATCAAGCGATTTCCTTTATTCTCGAAATCGAACCGCTTTAAATAGACAAACGACCAAGCACCAGATGGATCCTACAACTGGCTTTATTAAATCACTTTGTATACTATTCAAAACAGTCTCAATATTTCTCTATCTATCGGTAAGGTTGAAATTTGAAAACTAAAAATAGTTGAAAATTTCCGAAACTAACGTCACCATTCGATACCAGAAATCGAATGTAAAAATCTAATTAAAAAACTCGTCTCATTAATCGACCGATCACTTTATAATGATATTATTAAAAACAATTAGAAGAATGGATAATTTCGGAACAAATTATTCTTATAATTAAAGTTTGTTATAATTTAAGTTACCGTTTCGATGATTTATTTTTAATGAATTTATTTTCCAAATGTTTCTTTCTTTACCACTATCATTCTAAATAATATGAGGAATTAATTCAAATCGAAAGATTGCTTTTTTAATTGAAAATATTTTTATCGTAGTAAATAAATAAATTTATCCTCTAAACGATATGAGAAATTATTTCAAATCGAAAAATTACTTTCTCAATTGGAAACTCCGAAGGGACAAAATTATATTGTTTTTCCAGTAAAATAAATATTGCGACGATTTGTACAAGAAAGATCGTTAAAATTTTTGGTTATTGTTGACTATGAGAAAAAAAAATTATTATTCTTAGATTTTGTTAAATATAAAATAATCTTTTATTAAATGTTTTTTAATGATTTTATTTTTAATAAATGTTTTCTATATAACTTACTAGATCAATGACATACGTACTTGCCATTTTGATCTAGATCTTCTGCATCTTTAGAGTAACTTAAATTCACGATAAAACTTGGGGCTTTATTTGTAAAAAAATCCAGATACATAAATATTTAATTTATCATGTCGAGGGAATTCGTCAATGTAAAAAATAAATATCTGGTGATAAAAACATTTGAACTAGACTGCAATAATTATTGTCTGATCGTTAAAAATCATAGTAAAAAACAACTAGTTTTCTAAATACGACCGACGACTACTATTTCTTCTGTTGTTTTTAATTAATTAAATTGCGAACAGTGGCTATCTATCATTATTAATCGTTTGGTCGTGCGGTAAGAGTTTCAGACAAAGTATTAACACATTAATTGCTATGGTGGTCACCGGTGACCGACACTCCGAACTTACAATGCGTTTCAATAATGGTTACAAAAGGACAAATCTTAATACTTATAAAATAGTAAATAACGCTACTTTAATTTGGAATATTGTAAAATAACAAATTTACCATTTAATTATCGAATATTTCTCTATAATTTGAATAAATATTGAGGACACGGAAAACTAACATGGCAGCTAACGTGTTAAATATATTATAATTGGATTTTTATTAGTAGAGTAATGAATAATGGTAAAATACATTTATCTAAATTATTGCTTCGTTCCCATTAACATATTAATTGCTATGGTGGTCACCGGTGACCGGCACTCTGAACTTACAACGCGTTGCAATATTATTTAGAAATGGAGGAATCCTAATACTTGTAAAATAGTAAATTTTAACTTCACCATCGAATTATCGAATATTTTCATGTTTCTATAATTTAAACAAATGTTGAGAACCCCTTTAGACATGATTTACATAGAATATTATAGACATACAATATTACTGCAAATGGAGGAATCCTAATACATACTTCTAAAATAGTAAATTTTAACTTCACTATCGAATTATCGAATATTTTCATGTTTCTATAATTTAAACAAATGTTGAGAACCCCTTTAGACATGATTTACATAGAATATTATAGACATACAATATTATTGCAAATGGAGGAATCCTAATACTTGTAAAATAGTAAATTTTAACTTCACTATCGAATTATCGAATATTTCTATGTTTCCATAATTTAAACAAATGTTGAGGACATCTTTAGACATGATTTACATACAATATTATTGCAAATGGAGGAATCCTAATACTTGTAAAATAGTAAATTTTAACTTTACCATCGAATTATCGAATATTTTCATGTTTCTATAATTTAAACAAATGTTGTGAACACCTTTAGAGATGATTTACATAGAATATTATAGACATACAATATTATTTAGAAATGGAGGAATCCTAATACTTGTAAAATAGTAAATTTTAACTTCACCATCGAATTATCGAATATTTCCATGTTTCTATAATTTAAACAAATGTTGAGAACACCTTTAGACATGATTTACATAGAATATTATAGACATACAATATTATTTACAAATGGAGGAATCGTAATACTTGTAAAATAGTAAATTTTAACTTCACCATCGAATTATCGAATATTTCCATGTTTCTATAATTTAAACAAATGTTGAGAACCCCTTTAGACATGATTTACATAGAATATTATAGACATACAATATTATTTAGAAATGGAGGAATCCTAATACTTCTAAAATAGTAAATTTTAACTTCACTATCGAATTATCGAATATTTTCATGTTTCTATAATTTAAACAAATGTTGAGAACCCCTTTAGACATGATTTACATAGAATATTATAGACATACAATATTATTGCAAATGGAGGAATCCTAATACTTGTAAAATAGTAAATTTTAACTTTACCATCGAATTATCGAATATTTTCATGTTTCTATAATTTAAACAAATGTTGTGAACACCTTTAGAGATGATTTACATAGAATATTATAGACATACAATATTATTTAGAAATGGAGGAATCCTAATACTTGTAAAATAGTAAATTTTAACTTCACCATCGAATTATCGAATATTTCCATGTTTCTATAATTTAAACAAATGTTGAGAACACCTTTAGACATGATTTACATAGAATATTATAGACATACAATATTATTTACAAATGGAGGAATCCTAATACTTGTAAAATAGTAAATTTTAACTTCACCATCGAATTATCGAATATTTCCATGTTTCTATAATTTAAACAAATGTTGAGAACACCTTTAGAGATGATTTACATAGAATATTATTTACAAATGTAGGAATCGTAATACTTGTAAGATAATAAATTTCAACTTTACCATCGAATTATCGAATGTTTCTATAATTTGAACAAATGTTGAGAACACCTTTAGACATGATTTACATAGAATATTATAGACATACAATATTATTTAAAAATGAAGGAATCGTAATACTTGAAAGTTAATAAATTTTAACTTCACCATCGAATTATCGAAATTTTCTATAATTTGAACAAATGTTGAGAACACCTTTAGACATGATTTAGAAAAAATTGGCGTTGTCGGTTAACGCGTTAAAAAGGCGAACGAAGTTATTAGAAAGCTAGGTGAATCGGTGAATAATGAAATAAGAATGTAAGAGACCTACCAGAGGAAGATGAACCTCGTTGAGGATGATGTAAAGTAGGAGGGTGAGGAAGTAGCTTCTGGTGGTTCCCATATCGGCGAAAATGTCACAGTATCCCTTCGTGGTGGTTCTGTAAATCTGAATACCGTTTCGAACGTGTTCGCTTCCTTATATAGGGTCCATTTCACCCCGCGCAGGCGTCTCAACCCCGAAAGCACACCTACACCCGATGTACCCTATTCGCACCATCACTAACAGTCCTGTTACTGAACTATGCAATATGCGTACATCCAATGCTGTAGATCTCCTACTTCTCCGATAGACTACCACCACCGAATAAGAAGAAAAAAAGACGAGACCGAGCAACCAGCCATAGAAGAGATGCGATTTTAAACCACGACTCGGTTAATATGCTGTGGCTGCGGATTATTGCGTGTCGGTGGGAAAAGAGAACCCTTCGTTTCTCGTCTTTTTTACTGGATACCACACTTTATTGCCGTTTTCAACTATTTCGTTCCACCCCCCCTATCGTGAAATGTCAACGTATTCTATTTACGCCTATCTCGCTTCTTTTTCTTAAGCCATTACGAATATACATAAAATTCGATCTAACGTTAATAGAAATTAAAAATTAATTTTTTTCTTTAAAAATTAAAGAAATAAAAATTTTATCGCGCGTATATAGGGACTTTAGTTTATCGAGTACTTTGTTAGATTTTTTATTTAATCAAGATGCAATGAATATACATTTGAAACGTATTTGATATACATCTTCGAGTGTCACAAATATACAAAACATACTGGACGTAGTATTTATTAAAACAATAATAACCGCGATAACGAATGTGATTTATGATGTGACTTGACATTAAAACTACCAACAATTATAGTGTATTTATTCGTACCAAAGAAATTAAAACGGTAGATACTCAAAGTACTGTACAATGGAATAGAAATTGTATATTTATTCATCTTTTTTATAGAAAAATTTTTTACGGGATTTTTTTACAATTTTTATTGGAAATTACGAATGGGTCAATTCTAGTGTTAACATCAGAATAACTTTAATACTTCGTGTATACACACCTGACATGAATAATGCTTTGAATTTCCCTTAATACACCCTTCACAATATGTTTGCGTTATGCTCGACTAAATTCTATTTTTCTAATAAATTTCCCCGTAGTAATGATAAATTTTAATGTGTCTTTTTTTTTAAATCGACAGCTTCTTTTAATAGATTCCAATGATTTTTGATGGAATTCAAATTTGGAGACATTTACGACCACTCGAAGGATATTAAATTATTTCGGAGCGAAGATTTGATCGAACAAGCAGCGTGTTTGAGTTAGTTATACTTTATCAGTCTCGATTTTTGCATATTTCTCATCGCGAGAACGTTTTAAAATGTTTACTTAGTCGCTTACATCCATTCGATGAACAAAACTTATGTCTTTAATTTTTTATTCCGTTGTTTCCAGATTCAATTTCTGTCGTTTAACCCAAGCATATTTATGTTACTATCGATTCGTCCGAATTAAACGCTCCCAATCTTTTAGGAAATTTTGAAAGTAATATCGTGTATCGTTTTGTTAAATTGTTTTATTTTACATAAGTCTTCAATGCTAATATTAATATAATTAAACGTTTCCGACTTATTTGTTATCTCTATGGAATTATCAACTTCTTCTGATTCTACAAAGCGGATTATATTACGCTTTAGTGTCAGAGGCAAGGGTTGAAAACAGTTATGGTATCGGTTTCGGGGCATGGAACAGTTACGAAGAACTTTTATTCGGAATAATCGTTATATAGAAACGATATTTTCAACCATATCCGGTTTCGATCCGGAAGAACCGATATTATATCAGTTCCAAAACAATTATACAGGGTGTTCAACGCAACTGAGAGAAAGCTATTCTTCTAAAAGGACTAGAGATAGAAAAAATAAGGCAAAATTTAACGACAACGAACAATGACAGCAAACCGAATGTAATTTTATTTTTAATTTTTGATACATGATGACAATATTACATTCAGTTTCTGCATCATTCTATGCTGTTTAATTTTACCTTATAACATTTTTTTGCACCTTCGATCGTTTTAGAGATATAGTTTATCGCAGTTACTTAGGACACCCTGTATATCGACTATGAATGTTCGGCCAGCCTAGGGAAAAATTTTAATGGAGGATTTTAGAGGCCAAAATAAGACGAAAATCAAGAATACCAATTTGTTGATGGAAGCTTTGTTAAAAAGTTATTAACGTTTAAAGTTCCGCCCCTACTGAATTTTTTTCTAAAAAATGCGCAAGATTTCGGGGGTATGTCTATTCACCAAAAATAATTGTAATTGACCCCCGCAGCCGACTATAATTTTTCCAAAACGATTTGAAATTTTTTTTTCCCGTCGAAAAATTTCACACCTTCTCGAATTTTTTTCTCGAAAGTGCGTAGGATTTCGGGAATATGTGTAATGACCAAAAATGATAGTAATTGACCCCCACAACCGAAAATAATTTTTCCAGAACGATTTAAAATTTTTTTTCTCCCGTCGAAAAATTTCACACCTTCTCGAATTTTTTCCTAGAAAGTGGGTAGAATTTCGGGGGTATGTCTATTCACCAAAAATGATTGTAATCGACTCCCGCAACTGAAAATAATTTTTCCCGAACGATTTGAAGTTTTTGAATTTAATTGTTAATAACTTTTTAACGAAGTCTCAGTCAAGAAATTGATATTCTTGATTTTCGTCTTATTTTGGCCTCTAAAATCTTCCACTAAAATTTTTCCCAGGTTTGGCCGAACACCCTGTATAACAGGTGAGCGTGGAAAGGTTATTCGTGTCTCTGTATTATAATGCACTGTAATAATATATTAATTATGAGATGGAATTATAGTAAAATTGTAGATAACAGCAAATTACGAGAACAATTGTAATTAGTAAATAAATTAATAAATTATATGCCATTATTTGTGTGTTAATAAGAGGGAAGCTTTTTTCTTTGTACTTCGCTATAATTGGAGTTTCTTACACGTACATATTAACATTTGTTTGAAAACAATAACAAAATTAATAGAAATTAAAGTGATATCAATATAAAAATTCTATAATATTGATTACTGTTTGATTAACTTAATTTAATATTAATATCGATGCGTTGTAAACTTCCTCTGTGAAGATTGCAAAATTCAGGAATTTTTTTTGGAGCAAATGCTACGTTCAACGCTGTGATTCTTTTTTTATACTTTATCTAAGTGCATTTTAGTCATACACTTGTATTTTTTACAGTTTTAAGTAATTGTTTTTTACTGTTATCGCGCTCGCGATAAATGCATATTTAAACATCACGTCTCGCCTAAATCGGTCTTTTTCAAAAAAAAGTCTTTGCCGTCTTTGGGAATTTCTTTCATCAAATCGTTAGATTGCGTGGTTCCAGCGTGATGTTTACACGCGTACCAATTCCAGTTTCAATTTATTTTCACAATTTTTTAAGGATTTCGAGTATATGTTTAATAAGAGCCAAGCTTGTTACATTAATGTAATCGACGATTACATCCGACACAGGCGTTTATGTGCGAAATCTGGCCCGGACAGATGTCGCCCAAATGAAATTGTAACAGATGGAAGACAAAAAATCAATAGAATTAGCGTGAGAGAGTAATGTGTTAACGTTCTTTTTTTATAATAATTGTTTTAATTTTATCCAACAGAATGTCAAAACAAAATTCCCATCGTTCGTGAAGTATTCCTAAAATTTCGTATTGTAATTTAATAATTGTTTACATAAAAGGAACCCTTCTTCCGTTTCTTCTTTAGGGTTGACCCAAACAAAATGAGTCCACGTTTCGTTCATTTTTTTTCCTCTCCATTTATCGTTCTCAAAGGCAATTGTTATTGAAGCCAAAGCTCTGACAAAAGCTCAGCTTGTCAGTCTTATGAGACAGTGGTTCTCCATCTTTTTTTCACGGACTTAAATATTAACGAAATCAATGCTCGTCAACCAACGCCCTTACAATTCTGAGTTTCACAGATATAATGCACCAATGCAGGATACAAATAATAATATTTTTTATTTGCTTTAAATACATTCGTATCATTGAAAAAATAAGTCTTGGAATATTGATATGTTAAAGGAGTAATGCCCATCACTTATTTAATAAGAATTACATTAAGTGCTAAATATACAGGGTGTTCGGCCAAAATAAGACGAAAATCAAGAATACCAATTTCTTGACTGAGGCTTCGTTAAAAAGTTATTAACAATTGAATTCAAAAACTTCAAATCGTTCTGGAAAAATTATTTTCGGATGCGGGGGTCAATTACAATCATTTTTGGTGAATACACATACCTCCGAAATCCTCTCCACTTTCGAGAAAAAAAATCGAGAAGATGTGAAATTTTTCGACGAAAAAAAAAAATTTCAAATCCTTTTGGAAAAATTATTGTCGGTTACAGGGGTCAATTACAATCATTTTTGGTCATTATGCATACCCCCGAAATCCTACGCACTTTCGAGAAAAAAATTCCTTACCAAAAATTTAATTAGGTGCCTAAATTCGACGAAAAAAAAATTTCAAATCCTTTTGGAAAAATTATTGTCGGTTACAGGGGTCAATTACAATCATTTTTGGTCATTACACATACCCCCGAAATCTTGCTCATTTTCGAGAAAAAAATTCAGTAAGGGCGGAACTTTAAACGTTAATAACTTTTTAACAATGCCTCCATCAACAAATTGGTATTCTTGATTTTCGTCTTATTTTGGCCTGTAGAATCCCCCATTAAAATTTTTCCCAGGGGTGGCTGAACACCCGGTATATGTAAATTTAAATATTAGAAATAGTAATAATTTAAAAAATATCTATCTTTTATTGTTCATTAGGTAGAGAACGTTTTTTCTTTTATTAGAATAATTTCTATCGTTTATTTAATATGAATCATATTAGGTACTGAATATATATTGTAAATATAAATATTAGAAATAATAATAATTTTAAAAATATCTACCTTTTATTGTTTTCTGTATTGTAATAATTTCCAAAGAACTTTCAATTTAAAAAATATTGGAAAATCGACATCCATCTTGCAATTTTTATCAAAATTGAATTTGAA